TTTGTATAATATTAGGTGGTTATAATGTTTTGCTAGAAACCGCTTATAATATATAGAGTTAAAAGTTTATTGCTAATATTATACAAACCTACACGGTCACACACCTAACCAAATTGGATCAATATATTTAATTGGGTTTAATAGTGATTAACCAATTATAATTGTTGGGTTTAATAGATTTATTGGGTTTAATTATATATATCATATACTTAACGTGAATTGAAACATTCATGTAAAAGATATTCTTAATTAGATTCAGAGTATATGTGTATATCTTTTAAAGAAAAAGGAAATAATACCAATTAATTATATTCCTTATTTGATAAGGAAATACCTTGATACACAAGATATATTCTTTGTGGAATTGGAAACTTCAATCATGTATATATATATATGCATAGCTCTCGTGACACACATAAGAAGAAAAGATTAACAAAAGGTTTTATTGTTCACGAGAGACAGAGACGAGAACGTGTTCTCGATCAAAGTAGTGGAGAAGAAATTTGTTTCTTTTTACACACAAGTAACTAAGAAACCCAAGAGAGACAAAATTTTTTGGCTAGTGTTTGAGATCGGATCTCACCGGAACTAGCATTCTATCCCAATCCAGTTTGTGTGCGTGTGGATACCAGTAGAGACACGACATTTGGAGTGCTAAACAACCTCGAATCATTCAAACCCATCTTTCCGCTGCATGAATATCCAGGTATATTCGAAACCATAGAACCTAGATCTAAATTTAGTATTTACACGAATCCTGGAAATTGAATTCTAAATTGATATTTATAAATAGTTATAAATCGCCTATGAATTCCAACAGATTTATCATATCGGAGGAACACAAAAATTTGAGATCCCAAAAGAACAAATTCGGATATCAGAAGTGTTTCAAGCGGTAGAGAAGGCAAAGAGCAGTTTCAAAGTGTTTGCTTGGGGTCTTGCGGACACAACTCTTGAAGATGTTTTCATTAAGGTTGCTAGAAGTTCTCAGGATTTTAATGCACTTTTTTGAATCTTGTTATATTGAAATATTTGCTGTCTGCTAACTTGGTCTTGTACATTATTGAAAATTGGCTGCAAGTTTGTGAATTTCTCTGAGGTTTCTATAACTTGTTTCTGTGGATGATTTAAGTATGACAAGAATTATGTAAATTATTTAAATTGTGGGTATACCGTATATACATTTT